AGCAAATTTCCCAGCCAGCTCAGCAAGAGAAGCGTGGGGTGAGCAGCAGCTCCTGAGGACACCCTGTTAGCTCACACTTCCTCACCTCTGTGTTTGCTGTTCCCTCTGCTTGTTTGCTTTTCTGAGTTAGCTCTCACCTTCCCTCCTGGCCCCTATCCAGATGTCCCACCAGAGTGAGGCCTGCCAGTCTGTGCTTGGGTGGTACCTGGGCTCCAGGACAGCCCTTCCCCCTGCAGACTGGGCACCTCTTACTCAGCTCTGTATTCCTAGCACCTACACAGCACACAGTAGGTCCTCAAGATGCTTACTGTAACATAACGGAATGGTGCTATCTGGGAAAGCCTCACGTGTGGTGGTGTCATTTATGGGGGTGCCGCCAAAAGGGCGGCGCTATACTTTCTGGGTCTCTATCTCTGTGCCTCTGGCTAGAGGCAAGTTCCATAACCTCTCTGGGCTCCTCCTTGGTGTAAAACAAGGTCCTGCTAGTTCCCACCTCCTGAGCTTTACGCAGGGAGAGGAGAGTGAGTTGGAGCATGGGTGCAGAAAGTCTCTTTGGGCTGGGTTACGCCAGGTGGTCAGCCGGGAGGCCTTACCTAGAAGGAGAGCCCCCGCCCCTCGCACCCACCCTGGCCCGGGGGTGCACCCACCTGGGCGGCGGCGGGCGACGGCGCGGGCGGCCAGAACGCCGAGCAGCAGCAGCGCCTTGAGGCCGAGCGCTCCGAGCGGGAGGGCGAGCGCCGAGGCCCCGGAGGCGCCGTGGAATCGGAACAAGTAGACGCTGGCCTCCGCGCGGCCCAGGCTGTTGGACGCCGTGCACGTGTAGCGGCCGTCGTGGACCAGCGCGGGCAGCTCGGCGGTCACCTGGTGGCCGTGACCCTGTCCCTGACCCGGGCCCGGCACGGCGGCCGAGCCGTTGCCCAGGGCCGGGCCGGACCAGTCTAGGACGGGCGGCGGCTCCCCCTCGGCCGTGCAGAGCGCGCGGAAGGAGTGCGCCGGGCCCGGCAGCACCGAGAGGTTGACGATCCGCGGGGCGGCTGCGGGCAGCGGCCAAGGGGTCGAGGGAGAAAGCGAATCCTGGTCAGAGCAGAGGGGGCAAAGGAAAAGGCAAGGGGGACCCCTCCCAGTCCCGTTTAGTCACCAAGAGATTTGGGGGTGGTTGGCTCAGAGAAGAGGGAGTAGGCGCTCTAGCGCCACGGTGCCTGGGTCCCAATAGAGATGTGGCCTTGGGCAAGTTATTCCGAAGCTCCGTGCCTCAGTTTCTTCATGCGTAAAATGGGGATCGTTTTCTTTATGAGGTCGTTGGGATTTGGCAAGTTAATACATGTGGGGTGCTTGGATTAGGGCGTGGCCCATTAGCAAATGCGCACTCAACGGTCGTTATTGTTGCGGTAGCTCAGGGCTGGGGACTGTCTGCTGGTAGGGGTTCAAGGGCACTTCCCACTCCCAGACAACCTGTCTGTGGCAGGGTGGCGAGGGCCCTGGGGAGAAACTGAAATGCACTCGGAGAGGCAGCCCGGCCAGCCCAAGGGCACATGGGAAGTTCGTGGCAGAGCCAGACTGGAGCCCAGAACCGGATCCCCACGGCAGCGGGGTGGGGCTAGGATATTTAAAAGCTCCCCAGCTAATTCCAGTGCACAGCCAGGGTTGAGAACCACTGTTCTAGGGACCG